GCAGAAAGATACAAAAAAGTTTTGGGTAATAAATTACTACTGAACTTTGAAGATATCATAGCTGAAACTTTACTGCTATGGGACTATCTAATGTCTATTGCCTGTTCCCTCTAGTATTCCTTCCCTAATATAAACGGTAGTTATAATTTACTGAGTTACAGTATTACTCTCTTGTGCTTTCCTACATAGATAATGAAATATTTATGCACACAAATTATGCAAATGTGATAATAATATTCATATATAGGCAGCTCTCTTTCTCAATAAAATTGATATATTTTATTCAATTTTTCATTGACCTAATAAACATAAAAATGATAATGTTACATATTTATACTGTCTTGACATCTTTTAAGACAGAAGAAAAAAAACTTCGATGTTGTTATCCTGATGCCATTATTAAACTAGGTGCAAGAAAAACATAAACTAATATTTTGAGATAATGTTTCTGTTCGATGCAAGTCTTCTTGTATTTCTTCAGCAAGCTTTCTATGAGTTGAACTAGACGACTTATGTTCGTCTGACCTCTTTCAGATTTTTCTTTCAAACCTTTAACGCAAAAGCAGAAAAATTAAATGTCGACAACAAATTCATGATTACAAGCTGATTCTCTTGATTGACGCTTGTCTGATCTGATTATCCAATTTATGGATATATAAAAAGATAAATTAAAACTGGATTAATCTGCCAATATTTTTTTAATTAATAGGTATTTTTAATCCATTATTTTCTGAAAGAATAATTTAGAAATAAATTATGTACACACACTTTGTGTAATTTATAATATTTTATATTAATTTGCACAAATAATATACAATTGTATTTAATCGCGCTGTTATTGAATAACTTATAAAAAATAATAATGGTGATTGTATGATTTCGAATAATTATTACATTGAATTGCGTTAAATTTTGTTATAATTGTAATATATAATGTATACAATCGTGTAACTGATTGGAAATCAATGGTCCATTTCATTGTTGTACTTCTTTCATTGAAAAATGCACGAATAATGAAAGTCATAAAGGAAATAAAAAAGAATTTATTTCTACAGAAACGTTCTCACCTTCACAGGTAACTTTCTAATCTGTAAGGTAATATAGAGAGATACTTTCTGCGGGGTGAAATTCTCGCATGGCAAACACAATGAAATTGACTCGTTTATACTACTTTACAACTGCTAGAAACTTTACTCTTAAAAATACATTCAATATTGCTTCATGTAAAATATACAATGCTTATAACGCGCCTTTAATATTTAACAAATTTATGCGTATTATAAACTGATTTTCATTTAACTCTCGAAAACGTTTTTAAAAATTATTAAGAGATATAAAAGAAATGTGATTTTTTAAAATTATTATATATAATACATAAACCGATAGATATTTTATCAGCAAATGAATATTATATTTTTTCCAATTATACGAGAATCTTTCGACATGTACCTATATATTGTAATAACAACGAGCTATTATATATACTTCAAGATAAATTTACTCTTCGCCATAGCTTGCTTTGTAGCTGTCCGTCTTGGTACATTTAATTTAAGAGTAATTAAATATTCATCTCTGGAAGAGTGAGAAATGAAAAAAGAATCTATAATACATAACTCTTATTCCTCTTCTCGGAAACTTTCGTATTCTTTACTTAATACCGGATAGATATTGAAACTGCAAGTATTTGAAGACAATCCTAGTGTGGCGAGATTTAATGAACCGAGACACAGAAGTTTCTTTGAGTATGCAAAGAAATATTATTATTAAAAAATGCAATGTGCAATGAACTTTATTATCCAACTACAAATGCAAAGAGTCCCTTTCCTGTTTATTATGTTTCGATTCTACACAGTAAATAAGAAATATTTTATGATTATAATTTATCACTCTGTTATAAAAATGTTGTAAAATAATGATATAAAACATTTAACTGGCTTTTGCATATTTGTGTATAAATTTGAATAGTTTTTTATTTGCATTAGTGAATCTTATTGATAGTAAATCTTACTGATTCTTTCAATTGGACTGAAAGCGGCTTCTCCATGGACATTTGTCGCCGGTGAGTGAAAATTTAATCATAACTGCGACGAATGCAACGCTAATTAGTGCATTTTCTGTTAATTATTTTACTGGCAATCCGGATTATTCCCGGAGATATTGCTAATTTCGACTTCAATAAGCCGTGCTAACCAATGTCGTGATTGCAACTTTAATACAAAAATTGTATCTGCACGATCCGATTTTATGACTACACAAATATATTTATGAAACAGTGCATTAGTATTATCTTAAATTTCATATAATATTATATTATTATATAATATATTAATTAATATATATTATTTAGTATATAATATTTAATTTGGTAGTTAATATTATATATTAAAAATATATGGATTTTTATACACTATTTGCAAAATCTCTGTCGCTTTTTTTTATCTGACTACTCCTCCGTAAAAATAAAAAAATTATTATTTTTCAATAATTTATTATAGTATATTTGTTGTAAAAGTAATTATTATTTTTCAGCTTACTTTTTAAAACAGCTTTTTAAAAACAATAAAGCAAAATAATGTATCAAGTGAGCTTATTTTAAATTCAAAGCAAAATTGGAATTACATCATACGAAAAGATGCAGCTTTTTTTGATTTATAGAAATATACAAAATCTGTAAATATTCTCAATCAACCGCACAACTACAGAGCAAAGAAATTCATCTGTATTACGCTATGACTTAAAACTCATAATACATTGTGCCGCAGCGAAGATAAACGTTGTCATCCATTTCCTGACAATATACATATATTTGTACCAGCTAGTAGTAATTCTTCCGTACGGCAATATTTAGTTATATGGTATAGCGTTGACAAACAAGCGGTGAAACGAGTGCACGAACATTTTTTGTACAGCTTTTACTAAGTCTCATATGTCAAGCAACACACCATTAAAAAGAACACTTGATATACCGTAACATTTTATACTAAAATAGCATTAATAGTAAAATATATAGTATGAAAATTAATAGTTTCTTTTAATTTCCAAAACTAAAAGGTGTTGATTTTGTTTAAAAATATAATAAATGATAAATATTAAATTGTAATAAATACTTGAATGTATAATTAATAATAGAAATATTTAAAAAATTTACTGTGCGCGTTGTTTTTAATACTTTGGGCTTGTCACAATTTATTTGATGTGTACTTCGTACTTTTGGACAAGGTTGTACTCGACTAAAAAATTGTTAAACCTGTACTGTGAAATGCGTTTTCCCACTGCGTCGAAATCGAAACTTTTCGTCGTTATGCACGCTCAATGTCATCGTGGTCATAAATTGTGTCTCAAGTGCGCCGCAAAAGCACGACGTAACTCACGCACCATTTCTTCGCAATGGTTCGAACGGCGACACACCACCACACAGTAGGATCTAGTTCATGAATAGTTTTATATGTATTTGCTATGAATAAATTCATGAAGGGGTACCGCGATTGGGATGCAAGCGATTGTAAACGGAAAAGCATAGGGAAATCAAAGTCCCATTGGCTTTGTTTGCCTCGGGCGATATATATCTTCACTTTAAAGATTTCCTTTTTTTAACGCGTGTAGGGTGCACGACACGTCGAGGATCTATAAATGAAAAAAAAAAAAAACAGCAACAAATGACAATTCTTCAAAGTATATATTCGGAATATGCAGATGCAAAGATAGAAGTACGGTCAACATCGATTATTTTGTACGTATGTACCGCAGTTTCCCGACGAGTGTCTCCCATTTGTCTTCATTATTCGCATCCCACCTGTCCGTCGTTTCGCGAAAGTCTCTCGGAAAAATCGGTGCAACATTCGCGCAAATTACTTCATTGTATATAACAATAAACAAGACAATTCGAATATAATTTTATTTACATTCTCTGCGCGATAAAAAATGTAATCTTTTTAAATTCAACAACTTTGGCAATAATAAGTTAGAAAGTTTTAAAAATGCGATTTTGTGTGATATTCATTAACGTTATTTATAATTACATTTTTAATTAAAGCTACATAATATGAATTTTACATCACAGAATGGCAATTAGACTCCGTCTCTCTTTGCAAGTTTATAAATATAATTTGTGTTAATAGAATAGAAAGAGAAACTTACACCGTTTGTGTTATCACTTATAGAAAGATAAACTGTTTCAATTAAAATTATGGCATATTTAGATATAAAACTGTAAGAGAATTTTTTCTAAACAAAAAATTAATTTCTTTGCTTTCAATTATGAGCAAAGTATTAAGAACAGCGCAGGATTACATGTGTATGATAAATAATAAAATGTGGTAGTAAAGTCTGCGTATGTAAGTGTATGTGTGTGCATGTTAGAGCACAAGGGAAAATACTAGGTAATATAATCCGTGCTCGGCGAATCTGCTGGGAATTATAGGATAATACGGTTTTTCATCTTACGCATAATTATACTTAGCTTTATGTATGGAATTGCCGCTTATACGATGAGATGAGAATATATGAAATATGGAAAAAGTGGAAAAAAATAGCAAGGTAAAGCTACGGGACCTTAACTTTGCTCAGCAAAGTTTCCTAGTGGCAGCGGAAAGTCGTATCTCTTAATTACGAGACAGAATAAACTCTACGGCTGACTTTTCGATCGAATTTAAAGTTAATTATAAGATATGGCAAAATGAACGTTCAGGTTTTACAAAGGAACGTCCAGGTTTTACATTAAAGGCTTAAAAGAGGCTGAAGCGAACAAAAAATCGATAAAAAGACAAACTCGTAGATTGCAAAGTACATCTGTGTTTCAATTATTATTATTACCCAATGTCTCAATTTTTGTCATAACACAGAAACAATGATACTTTAAGTAGCAAAAATGTATAACTGGAACAAATAGATCGGGAAATTCTATCTCTTCGATTTCCTCGATGTTGACTTACCTTAAAAGCATCGCTGGACGCTTCATAACACATCTTTGAAATTAGGTAAAGAAAATTAGTGATAAACGGTTTACTTTAAAAGTACTATATTTATATAATCCATATCTCGGCGTGTATCTTCTTAATAGCCGTGTTGTAGATACTTTATATACAAATGTATACACTCTGTACATTCTGCTCTACATGTTAAACGTTAACATGAGATCTGTACACAAACGGGAATTTCAATTAGGTCCTGTTTTTTCTGTAAAAACTGCATTCGTGAACGTAGTCCTTTAGATCGTAGTTAGCATGCACATGATCTTCACACGATCGGCGTTTAATTGACTAATTTAATTAATAATCTGGTCGTGAGTACAACAGTCTGCGCACGCACGGTCGTTATTTCTGATTTTTTTTTTTTTTTTTTTTTTTTATTTTTTTTTTTTTTAGTACATGTATATTTTCTGCATGACTTTGTGAGCCATTAAGCGCAGAAATGGCACGAAGAAATATGTGAAGACAAATCGTGCTCGTCAAGTTGAAGTATATTGTCGGTATTACTACTGCGTCGGATATGTCTGACTATACATATGTACAAACCACTCGTGTTTCCTCGCAATAATGCAGAATTCAATTCTTTTTATCGCGCCTCTCAAAGGAATTTAATTCGCTTGCAAGAGATTTCTTTTCGTAACACACACAAATATATACAATTATTTCTATACATTTTTTAAATAATACTAGAATAACAATAATAACATTAGTAACAACAGTAACACATCACGTTTTTCATTAATCGAGAAATATAAATTTTCATCATCAGAGAAACACTTGGCAAAACTCCATATTCAATAAAGATAAGTACTTTAATTATCAGAGTACCAAGTTATGAGAGAAAAACTAATCTAATTAATTTAAAACCACAATTATAGCATTAAAAGTCAAATAAAGAGATCTTACAAATAACAATCGTAATAATAGACATCAATAAAGGCAACATATAGTAAAGAACATTATAATCGATCCATTAAATATAAAGCAATAATACATATGTTATAGTTTAAAAAATTGTTTAAAAAGATAGGGAATATACTTGTAAAAGAATTAGGTATACGCTATGCGTCAAAGTTCGAAAAGTGCAACTTATTACTATTTATTTATGCTACTTTATTCCGCTCGAATTATACTTGTGCAAAGTTCTAAATCAGTAGACTGAAGATACAATGGTTTATGACTTGTTATATAACATTTAGAAGGAACTAACCACACGGAAGAATTAATAACAGACAATCCAGCCAGAGAGCCACTGGGCAATCTAGCGGTTTGCGAATGGAACTTGTAAAGGAGAACGCGGTGGAAACCAGTATAACCGTCACGTGCACACTAACGCTGTTATCAAACCGCATCTGATTTCAGACATCTCCCACGGCATTCGCAAAACAAACGTGTAGGCCGCCGTTTATCCGATAATTCGATTCCGGCCGGAATATTTATGCCACCGCCGGAAATAGAACATTGCATTCTTGTGGAGAACAGTGACCAACATGTTCGATCGATCGATCGGAGGATTCGCTGATTTCGGCACAATCGTGCCGAACGCATTCATATACGCGTGCATGTGTGTATTACGAACTATAAATGCATCTCTTGAACTATATAGTCGCTGACCGGACACGCGCAGACTCGCACATTTTTTGCAGAAACCACGTGGAAAAATAGTTTACCTAACATCGTCGCGATCTCCTCTCGGCGCCGATCATCGATGCTAATCGCATTCTCTGCCGAAGTACCGTTAAACGGTATATTTATTGACTAAGATTCGCCAACTGACATATGCGTCTAAAATTGTTGATACTATAAAACATTGTATTTTTATTTCGACGTTAATCGTGACCCGATTCAGCTTTAACGGGTTTAAGAATTTATTGAAAACCTCTTCCCGCGATTGGGGCGTTCCTAAAGAAGAAGTATCGTTTCGCGAAGCATTAGATTACGTGATGGAAATCGAAGAATCGCATGATGTTGTATGAATCTGATGATGATTCTTTTATCAAATGTACGCTATATACGCTAGATTTCTTTATTGTTGCACCGACATCGACGATTCACAAAATACGTGTCTAAACAATCTAATCGAAATAATTAGTCGTTTCGGAGGAAATCTCGTGGGCCACTTTACTCGTGTCTCTCTCTCTGCTAAGCGGTAAAGACCGCAGACCGTTGTGCAAGTTTGTTTTTCTCTTCGGTTGACGAGTGATTAATAGCCTTCGGTTTTCGCTTCTCGCGTTCCCGGGCGATCCTGCAATGTAGGAACAAATGAGATTTCGCTCCCGATATGTTACGTGCCATTAAGCCCACGAGATTTCACAAAATCGATAAATAGTATCGGATAAGGCGCGTATCTTAAAAGCTGTCTTATTACAAATTTCAAAGAAAAGATTTCAAAGATGTTAAAATTTTGTATCAGAAGTTATCGTGCATTGTAATAAAAATAACAATAAAAAATTGAACGGGATTTCGATTTAATTGGGAGAAACATAAAAAAATATATTATTTTAAGCTATAAATTTCTTATGTTGCATCCTCCTTAAAATCAATTTTAATATTATTGCCAGAATATTATTTCGAATTGTAATCTTAAAATAAATATTTTACATACGAGAATCTTATATCGTTAATCGTGAGAAAAATATTTAAGAGAAACGTTTGCGTAAATTAATATATATTCTAAATGTTTCTTTAAATTCAATAATGCAAGTAAAAGCTTCTGTAATAGACGGCACGCGCGTCATCTTCTTCTTTTTCTCTCCGTGAATGTTTCAAGCGACTCGATTTAATCGCGCTTAAGTACTACCCTGAAGTTTACGGTATGATTTGGCTCTCTTTCGCTTTTTTTTTCTCTATATTTCGCAAATTTATATATCACGTAGTTAACGTGAAAGGCAGCGATTGTCGTGATGTTCACACGGTAAAATGCATGGTTCTCACAAGAATTATCTCCGATTATTTTTGTCACAAATTCGTGATATCGCCAACAGATTAATCGCACCTATCTGGATCGTCCGATAGATGCGGCAACAATTGTTTTACTCTTATCCCCTTTAAGCGACTACAGTCTTCGTTCACTGTCTATCCGAATTGCACTAGTAAACATACCGCAGATATACATAGACTATATACATTGATATATATTTTTCAATCGTCTCGGGGTATCGAGGTCGCGAGATCGAAGTAGTTTGTGTGTTGTTTCCCAAGACGGCGACTCGAAAGCGCGCGAGATCGAATTGCGCGGCGCAAATCTCGTAAAGCAAACACTAGAAAGGTATAGAAGCCCCGATCTCCTGGTCCAGCGATCTCTTCGTCATGTCGATCGACCTGACGACGCATCGCAGAATGCCGAGGGGCGATTTAATGCCGTCAAGCGAGCTCTGAGTCCCGACGGTCCTCCTCGTGGGTCGTCCGAGTCGCCTCGCAGCTCGATTCGGCCAGGTTCGATACATGGGGTCCATGCTGCATCGTTCGAAGGCACTCCAGGTGATCGACGATCGTCGCGGCAATGGATGCGTGTGCGAGAGGCATCCGCAGTGTTGCCAGGACAGGGACGGGGTCTTGCATCTGAACACGGGTACCCTGAAGCCCTCTGGCGGTCGCAAAATCGGCAAGTCGTGCGATTTTAAAGCAGTCTCCGCTCGCCGCCACGGTCTCGAGGTCAGCGAATCGTTCACTGTCGTCCGATTTATCGAATCACGCGGAATGGGAGGACCGTTTGATCGTGAATCCGCGTTGTTCGCTGCCGATTCTTCGAGCCCGATCGATTCATCAACCGGTTTATCGATATGCTTCCTCTCCTCGATCAAACGAATCGGAGTTGATACATTGTTGCTCGAACGATTGATTGATACATCGGTCTCGGACGACTGATTGATCCTCGACGATTCGCGATACGTGGATCAAGAGGAGGAGTTCGCTTCCATAGTGGAGCTCGTTGAGGCGTCGTCATCGAGCGAGCTCTGCGTGGCGACGGTCACCTTGTTTCCGACGTCTTTACGTATCGTCGTCGTAGAATTTTGCCGGGGATGGCGTCTCTTGTAGGGCTCCCAATCCCCAGAATCCCGGCGTCAGTGCGTCGCGATTACATCCGGAGCGCTCTTTGTACTCTCTATGCTGAACGGCCGTCTCTGATCCACTTCAATGACCGCTTCCGCGCGATACCTCGGATCCACCGGCTGCGCTTGACGTTTAGTCGGCGTGCCGGAAGAGTGCTGCGACGTGCTGGACGTGGTGTTGCTGGACCCGTGGCCGGATCCGTATACGGAACTGCCGTATCTCTCGTGAGAGCCTGCGGTCGGTTGTCGCACGAACTTGGGCGACTGCCGATAAACATCCCTGCCGGGTTTCGGGCTCTGGTACCTCTGGTAAGACGGATAGTCCAGCTGATCCGGATACTGGCTGACTGGCGGCACGGAGAGAGGATAGCTGGACTCGTGCATGGACCAGCCGGGTGGTGCCGGTATGGGATTGTGTTTCGGACAGATACCCATACTGCCGTCCCGTCCGCGAGATGCTGGACTACAACCGGAACATTGGGACAGGCTCTGCTGCTGCGAGCTGTGCTGGGACGCCTGCGAGCTCGGCTGCGAGGACTGAACGCTCTCGAGGTGAGACCGCTGCGGACTCTGTTGCAGCAACTGCTGCTGTTGATGATGATGATGATAGTGATGATGAAGATTGGTCCCGTTTTGAGAGCTGGGCGCGCGCACGCCGAAGGTCGTGAAGCCCATCGAATCCAATATCCGGGATTCGAAGAGGCTCTCCCTCGTTTGGCAGGAATTATCGCGCATTTCCGGCTCCTCGCTGGACTCCTGCAAACGTTCCTGCGTCGCGTTGCTCACGTTATTGCTCTGGTGAATGTCGGTGATGTCGCTCGTGTTGTAAGCTATCTCGAGAACGAGATCCTTGGTGTATTCTTGAGATATCATTGTGGTAGGTGGCATGAGTTCTTTGCTAGGTAAGACCTCCAAACTCGGCGATTCGCTGTCGCGCTCGCGCAAATCCGTTCTGGAACTCGAGATTGGACAAGGCGTTGACTTTCGACCCAGTTCGTCTAAGCGATTTTCTCTAGATTGCCTTATGTGCTCCTGCGGGAAAGCGAAAGGGCGGGATGTAATAATAATACGCACATAAAACTTAATACTCGTAGTAGAGACGTCTGCAGAGATTCCTAAAACGCAATCCTGTTCTATACAATTATATGTTTAAAAATATTATGAAAATTAGAGGTGTGTCCTGTTAAATATTTCATTTATTGCGTGAATAAGAGATTTATATGCGCTTGTAAAATTGTAAAAAGCGTGCAAGAGCAAATTATAACTTTGTTGATCTTAAATAAAAATCTACTGCATCCATAACTGTTTGTATTTCATTTTCTGTGCATCTCCGCGCGGTTTGCAAAATAGTATTCACTTTATCTGCGGAAGATTATTTCAGTTATTTTTAAGCTGAATTTCTTATCAAGATATTTATATACGCAATTGGATCTGAAAAATTTAGATTTAAAGATTAGTTAAATACATGTACAGTTATATTAAATGTTATATATATATATATATATATATGTTAAAATAACAAAATAAAATTAAAAGTTACAATTCTTTTGATAGCACAAATTTAATATTTAAGAGAGTAAACAATTTTTTTAACCGATCTTTATACAGATAAATTATTTTATGTAGCGATGTTTATATTTAATTTATATGTAATTATTATTAAAATAAATTGCTTGAAAAATAAGAGAGAAAACAACACAATATATGTATATGATATATACATCCGATTGCAAATTTAACTACAATTTAAATATAATAACACAATAATAATAAGTCTGATTTCTCCGTGCAAATAAAAACTTAATAACAGCTAATAATATTTCATATGTTATAAATGTGTCAAACAACAAAGGCTGCAATATTACTGTAACAATGAAAGAGAAGTTTGGATGCATTTAAACCTTTGTTGGCATAATTGTTATTTGGATAAATGTGATTATCGTTATATGCAGCTCATAATTCATATATCCCATAATACAATAAAACAAATTAAATTACTGTAAATTTGTTTTCGTCATTGAGAAATTTGATAATAACCTCGCTCGCTTTCAAATAGGTTAATAAAGAACAGAAATGTAGTTACTGAAAAAGTTAAAACAGAACGCTTATTTGTGCAAAAGAATAAGAAAAAATGTCGAGATAAATATTCGCAAATTTCTGTTTCTCGAATTTTAATGATACTAAATAAAGAACAAATCGTCGAGACACGTGACTAAAGACCTGAAAATTGTACAAACTCGCTAAAATATTGCGTGATCGTAAAGAGGAAAGCTCTTGCAGCTTTATATGCTGTAGGGAAGCGCAAGGTCGATTTTTAATAAAAATTTACAACCTAGTAGTCTCACGCGCGCGCGATCGTAACCAACAATTCTATATAAATAATTCGAGATAAGTATTTGTGCGAAGAGAGGAATCGTAAATCCACGAACAAAACATAATGGAATATTTTCTGGGATGTTGCAGAAAACCCCTCGCGTATTTCTGTGGAGGACTCGTTTTCCGATCTCATATACTGAAATCGAAAGCTTGGAGGGAGCAAGTGGTTGGAAAAATAAAATTCACTCACCTGGATAATGCGGTGATCACGAATAAGCTTCCGAACGCAGTTGAAGACGAAGGCGAAGCTCATGCCAAACATAATTAGGGAGAAAACGACGAGGATTATGACGATGTGCTGCGAATCGATCAACCGTGATTTCATGTTCTGCAAATAAGAAAATTAAATATGCCTTCAATTAAACATCCCTGACCATGATGGAATATACTATGTTATTCTCGATATTAAAAAGTTGAAATTGTATAAAGTACGCAAACGTTAATAAAAGTTTCGGGCTATTTTTATTTTTAATTTTAGATATTATATTGCACACGAATGTATAATATACCTCTCTCTCTCTCTTCTGTACATTTTTTCAAAGAGAATAAATATTAATTGTATAAAAGTAGCTCTTTTTCACTCGGCAATTTTTATTCTATTTCAGCTCTCACAATTTTAATCTCGTATTATACGTCCAAATATCAAATAAGTTGATTATAGGTAAAGTATACGTGTACAATTATTATTGCGCGGATACATCAAATAATGGCACACTATAATGTGTAGCATAATTGAAATCATTGATGGATTCGAATCGGACGAGAGATGTGGAAGTTGGTAAAGCAGTGCACTAATCATCATTTCTCTCTTTCGTTCCGGCTACAACTTCTCTCCGTAACTTGTTAGACTACAAGGGTCTCTCGACAATGGCGTCTCGAGATATATACGGATTCGTCACTGCATCCCTCCGACATCGTGACACAAGGACACCCTCTTGTCACCGACGTTCTGCTCCGTTTGCAACCCCGGCTACGGAGCCGTCATACTAAATGTCTTCGCAAAATTTCAGGAGAACGTTATACATTACGCAGAGTGGGATTCAACCGGGTTGGGAATTTGCGAAATATCATGGTATAGAGTGCACAAAGCAAGTAGAATCGACGCGATCCGTCTTCTCCTCCTTGTTTCTTTGTTTCCTGTCTTTCGCGCAGCGTCCTTTGTCTCCTGAAATAGCGATGCTGCCGCGGATTATGCTTGTTTGCTCCTCGTTTACTTAAGTGGTTGTAACGTGAGAATAACTCGTTGCAACACTACTTTATATCGCATTTGTTGTCATTTAAATGCAAAGCATGCGGTACCAAGTGCACTTACGATTCCGTTTCTTTTACAAAAATTCTGAGCTAATAACAAATGTTTTTTCAGCATTTTCATAGTTGTGGTTACTATTTCTATTTCAAATTTTCCAAATTATGTGTCTCACGAATTTAACAATTCAAGAAGCATTTCGAATGCATTTTTTCATGATAAACAAGTTAACACGAAAACTTCACCTAATTAAAACGTTGCAAATTTGCATACTTATGTAAGAGTACCGTGTTTACATCATTAAATAATGTATTCTAAACAAACAAAATTTACGTAACATAAAATGAATTAACATCGTGTATTTTATAATTGCCCGCAGAATTTTCATGCGTTCCTCGAAGAAAATTACACATGTTGTGTATTTTATTTTTTCATATTTTAATTTCTCTCTCTTTCTACATTTCTTTAAATATTAATTTAAAGATGATTTATTTTCTGATGATTAAAATTCTAGAGAAATCAATATTTTTTACAAAGATTATTAATTCAAGAACATGCCGTTAAATTAATCAACAGTTTTACAAAACGTCACAAATGGTACAAGCTATCTGTCACGGCAGACAAATGCGAGTAATCTCGCATCTACGGAAAACACAAGTGACCGAGGTCACTTTGCATGCTGAAAGTCCTGCGGGCGTGTATTGCGCGATACAATGTATGCAAGTCACGTTATGCATTCAATGCTTACACAGTGATAACTAATTTCAGCGGGTCAACCTTGCGCGACACTGAAACAAAATAACGTTTACCGACATTATTGCTATTCGTGAAAAGCGAGGAAATGCACCATTAAGCTGCTGGAGTAATTTATATCGACATTACACGTCATTCATCTAAATGGAAATTCAAAGAGAGACGACGCCTCCCTTTTCTTTCGTCTCTGCGTATATTTCCGGCGGTAGTCGCGTTATAATTTCTCGACGTTTACCCTTCGCATATCGTCCAAATAGAGGTGGTTGCTCTCCAGCAACGGAAACATGTTTGCCCGATTACAAAATGCTTAATGCGACGGAAAATTTGTACACGTGCAAAGTAAATAAATTACATTACTTTAGAGAAGATCTTTATATTTCGTTTTATTTTTAGAATTTTATCGAAAACGATTCTTCGTTCATTTTCTCTTACACATTTATAAAACTATTTATCAAAGTTTATAACAAATAAAAATTTGTACACGTGCAAAGTAAATAGATTACATTACTTTAGAGAATTACTTTAGATCTTATTATTTCATTTTGTTTTTAGAATTTTATCGAAAACGATTCTTCGTTCATTTTCTCTTACACATTTATAAAACTATTTATCAAAGTTGATAACAAATATGTAATAAAGAATTCATAATAATCACATAAACACGTTTTACGAAGAAATTGAATAAAAGAAGAAATAAAAATGGCAAAATAAAATGCAAAACTGAAAAAGTAATATAACACGATATAACTGTAAAACGAATACGTGATCAAAGGAATAACTGCATTGTCATATACGATTGCGCTCTGCAGTGCAATGCATTCCACGCGCGTTCATCGATCATAATTTTATTAGCAGGACAGGATTTTTTTTTATCGATTGGATGTCATGTCGCGTGGGAAAAGCGTCGGGAAATCGAACGACGTCAGTGGAAAGCACCATGACGAGTCGAAACCGCAAATCGTACCCGAGAGAATCTGTCGACGAGTATGCAGAAATGCAATTACGATGATCGCGTGGATATTAAGTTCCCTTTCTGCCGCACATGAATATATAGGAGGATGCTATTATAATGCATATCTCGGTGGTGAAATTTTTCGGCGTTATTCCTAAATCGCTTTTATATTTCTTTCTCTTTTTCGCTCTCTTTCGATTTTTCTCTTTCGAAGAAAGAGTATATACAGTCCGTGATATACATATATAGATGTCATACATATATATAGATATATGTATGTGTATGCATGTACGAATAAGCAGCCGAGAGAAGAGGACGAGAGAAGAGAGATTGCACAAGTGGATGCTTTCTTCTGCTTCCGCGAGTCTGAGTGGTTTATTGTTATGCTCGTACGCTCGGAATCATTGCACGTTTTCGTGAATGTATCTACACGCCGCAGTGCATTGGAGAGTTCGCTACTGAGAGTATGCGACACCTTTCCTCGACTTCAACAACGAGAAACGATCTAAATCGGAGTTTGGTTATTAAATAAGAGCTTGTTTCACTCTCTTTAATATAACAACTGCCCGATTAAGAAAAGTTTTGAACGAAGAATGTTTCTACGAAGAATGTTTTTACGAAGAATGTTTCTACGAAGAATGTTTCTACAAAAGTAATACAACTGTCAATTTCTTAATACGTATAGAAACATTAAATAATATAATTATATAATGTATATATATATATATATATATAAAAATAAATTTATAATTCTTATTTTTTATTTCTGTATACCAAGTATGTCCAGAATAAATCGTAAAAAGTGCCACGATATTAATTTAAACGATAAAAAATATTTTCTTTATATATTATTTTTATATTTATTAAAATAAAAATAAAGCTCATTTTAATTAAAAGAAAGGTAAAACCTAATGATTAAAAATATCGTAATATATTAGTCATGATGCACAAAATACAGAAGAACGTTACCCTTTATTTGCGCTTTATTCCATCCCTTGATCGACATTGGCTATCGAACGGGTACATAAAACGATGTCCAGATTTATGGTGATTGGCGTCGATGCGATCCGAATTCGTGCACATCGCGAAATGTTTTATTTTATTCCACAATCCTTCGATCTCGCGAATTTCACTAACGCGACGAATTTTTGTCTTTTTCTCGTTTTGCATAAATGTCAGTGTCTCAAATTTTCAAAGAATTTTTAGGGGAACGTTCATTCTATTAAAATATTTCATTTCCTAAATTCTTCGTTGTGAATATTAATATAGTGCGATACGGGAATCTGTGCAAAGTGATATATCGGTTTGTCGCCGGATAGTGGACCCTTCACGTGTCTTTACGGGGAAAAGAAGGGGAATTTGTACTATTCAAGCAATAGAAATTCTTGACACACGTTGTCCGCTCAATACAAACTACCAAAGAGATGAAAGTACGGCGAACTATTTTAAATATTTCTAGTATTTACGACAGCGCATTCGATGTTCGTAGTAAATGCCAGCATTTACTCTGTAAATTCCGGTCGCAAGCTACACTGAATTATTAATACTCGCACTAACGTAGGCAGCTATCGCAAAAGACTTATGCGTACATTTGTAACAGCGTTTTTACGAAACTCTTCCATATAATAAATAAAAGTCATAGAGAAATATACGCAAAATATCATCATATATCGATATAGCTAATAATTAAAATTATTATATATATTTTATAAATTAAACTTCGGCTCGTATACAATTAAAATATGTGATATAATAAAAGGCCAACTTAACGAGCTTATATGATATTAATTGAAAAAATTTTTTTATTAATTTACTTCATAATATACAAAAGATAAGATAAACGTTTCGACTGCACGACAGTCTTTTTCAATATCATGCTAATATGTCAAAAATTAATTTGGTCATTTCGACCTTATTATAAATACAACATTTATGAGACTATCGTATGACGAACGCAGTACAAAATTCATGCTTGTTGGCTTGAGTTAGAGCGTCAGATTTATGTATGTCATGCTGTTATATTATGTAACGACACTGTAAACAAATTAATATATCCGCTCAAATATTACATTTTAGTTTTTTAATAAATAGTATTAACTTACTTTTTTGTCACGAACATAACACTTTTTTTAAAAAATTATTTCTTTTTACTTAACATAATCACAATGTGTACTTTTTTAAAAAACAAATCGATATCTGTATCTCACAATGTCGGCGCGCTGTATATATACCCAATTTTTAAGATGACGTAGACAATTTTTTTAGAATATCAAAATAAGAACCGTCAAGACGCTCTAAAATTATTATATACGATTTGCGATAATATTTTAAAAAATCAGTATTTGTATATCTAATGACACTTTTAGTCAAATTTAGA